GCCTGTGGTCCCAGCTACTTGGGAGGCTGAGGCAGGAGACTCGCTTGAGACTAGGAGTTGGAGGCTGCTGTGAGCTGTGATACCACGGCACTCTACCCAGGGGGACAGCTTGAGACCCTGTCTCAAAAAAAAGCCAAACATAATAACTGCAAATGGCTGAAATCCATCAAATGGTAAAATTCGTGAATTCATAATGATATATAATAAAATCCTAATTAGTAATTGTCAACAAATGATAAGGAACCAATTTATTTTCTTGATGATAAAGGAAATTACAATTATCCTGCTTTCCCTGTATGTATCATTCCCTATATGTAACCACAGAGTAAAGAAAAGCATTTCTTTACAAAGAAACTTAGTAAACTAATAAATGGAAAACAAACACAGAACATCACCATTTGTAATCACCAACAAATAGACCTAGGGCCTGAATACCAAGGCTGTTGACACAACGGAACAGGCATGATACGCTTCCTGATGGAAACAGCATCACGTCTAGTTTTCCAAAGGGACAGGCCATGAGTGTGATCTAGCCTCTGGATGCAGCTGCCCATTTGGAAGAGATATGAAGTCTGACTAAAAAGAGTCTGAGAACTCATCCTAGAAAATGCGCTCCATACCTCATTGCTGAGTATCACTACAGTCACCTTTGAAGTGCTCCCCTTGGGAAGCCACCCACCAATGCCGGTACCTAGTCCACCCTTCAAAGCAATTTTAGAGCTTTTTCTGGAAAGACGATCAGAGTTGCTGTCACATGAGGTGTGACAAGTGTGCAAACTCACCACTACATGCTCACATCAGCAGCACCATACATACAAGTCAGTAAGGTTTCCGTAACCTTGGAATATCAGTATCTCACAGCCGTGTTTGTACTGAGTGGCATTCATTACTGTTTTTTGTGTGTGCCCTCAGTTCCTCAATAGCAATCTATATTTTCAATTAGTGAGCCTGGACTAAGTATTCAGTTAATTATTTCTAGTTTAGACTTTGACATATATATTTAAAATTCTTCAAAGAACACCTACCAATGGAATTTTATTTACAAATTATTGTAAAAATCTAAAGAATTACTTCATAATATCATTTCATAAAAATTCAAGATGACTTTTTTTGAGACGGAGTCTCACTCTTACCCCAAGCTAGAGGGCCTTGGTGTTAGGCTAGCTCACAGCAGCCTCAAACTTCTGGGGCTCAGAATGCTCAGAAACAATGCTCCTGCCTCAGCCTCCCAAATAGCTGGGACTACAGGTGTCTGTCACAATGCACAGATAATTTTTTTACTTTTAGTATAGACAGGGTCTCAGTCTTGCTCAGGCTGGGCTCAAACTTCTGAGCTCAACCAATCCTCCTGCCTCAGCCTCCCAGAGTGCTAGGTGTGAGCCACCAGGCCCAGCGTCAAGACTATTTCTACATAAACGTGGAAAAACCAATGATATGTTTAGATGTATTAATTATAGAATTTAATGTATACCTGGTTTTCTTGAGTTCCTTCCCTGTCACTTGAATTTCTTCATACATGATGATCCTTCAGAATTTCTTCATATATGATGAACTATAATGTATGTGCTCAGGGTTGTCTGTTAGTAGAACTGATAGGCTGACTGGTGTGAGCCAATTTCACTGTGTCTGATGCCCAAGTAGCCATAGCATAAAATCATATGGTGTCTGGCCAGGGATAGCAACCACAGAATATCATTCTTCTCTCAACTAGCTTAGCTAACCCCCCAAAATAATTATACAGAGGACCTTAAGCTCATTAGAATATCCTTTCATCAATTCCACCTAGACTTTAAAATTTATGTACAACATTCTACAATTTTTCTTTTTTTGAGACAGAGTCTCACTATGTGGCCCTGAGTAGAGTGCCGTGGCATCACAGTTCACAGGAACCTCAAACTCTTGGCTTAAGTGATTCTCTTGCCTCAGCCTCCCAAGTAGCTGGGACTACAGGTACCCACCACACGCCCAGTTATTTTTTGGTTATAGTTGTCATTGTTGTTTGGTGGGCCGGACTGCATTCGAATGCACCAGCTCTGGTGTATGTGGCTAGCGCCCTAGCCACTGGGCTATAGGCGCTGAGCTGACATTCTATGATGTTTTCTAGCAAAAAACAAATTTGTAGTTTTTAGTCCTTTTATAAAAAGCTTTTAAAACTTGTTTTGGTTAAATTCTGTTAACCCAAGGTAGAATTGTTAAAGGGAATATGAGACTGTATTCAGGCAAATTAATGTACTCCATATTACAGGACACCGTTAGTCACAGACAGATCCAAAAGACCACACGCAAGTGGCTCAAAGAAACAGAGCTAGAACTTGTCTAAGAGTTACCTCAGAAATGTTTTTGTCTGTTTCTTTTCTTTTTTCTTCCAGTTTCCTTTCAATACCTACAATTCCTACAGCTCTTATTCTTCCTGGCTGGAAAAAAAAGTAGAAAATAAAACATACAAAATAGGAAGGAAATAACTCTTTTGTAACCCTCTACATTGTATTGTCAATGGCAGGAAAAGACTCACAAAGAAAAACAGCATACAATTATATCTAGCTTCCTTTCAAAACATTCGTTTGTTTTTTGCCATATATAATGATCTTCAAATCATTAAGGAAAAACCAAACAGACAATAAATGTCATCTTTACTTTGTATTTTAAATGTAAATTAAATTTCCTATTCTTTTTTGTTCTTTGGGAAGGTATTATGTATCACATATTTAATAGAGCCTCAAATTTACAAAAAAATTATAGTTGAAATTCTGGTCCTTACTAGTTATTATCCAAGCTACTGTCACACATCTGAGTGCCTGTCCACACTTCATGATTAATTTAGACTGGCCTAGAAAATATCACCCAGCCATACTGTCTATTCTCTTAAATGCCATACTGATTCTGAAGAACAGAATGCAGTGAATGAAAACTAACTTCTACCACCCTCAATATTACTCTAGTAAGAAATCATTTATGTTTACTAAGTGTCTACTATCTTTGAAGCACTATATTAGGTGCTGTGAAAATAATTTTTTATCAGAATACCATGACAGTATTTTGTTTTCAACAAGCTCTATAATTGCAATCATTTTCTTAATGAAGAGGTAAGTAAAGTACACGGTTGAAAATACAGGTTAGCAAACAGTGGAAAAAATACCTGGGGTCCTCTACTTGTTTGTAATGACTGGGAAACTGGTACATTCTCCCATCTTCTCTGTGTCATTTCCTCTGATAAACGCCTATAAAACTGTTACACAAATACATATATTTTAAATGACTCACTCAGGTTGTGGCATCCTCATATAAATTATTACCTGACATTTCTTTAGTTTAAAGGTCTGTTTGGTCATTTTCAACAAGCCTAGAATTCTCAGAGACATCAAAAGAAATCAAAGGAAGTTTTTTTCTTGGATCAACTTCAAAAAGCACACAGGAAAAAAAGAAAAGGAACTGACCTTCTATATAAAGTGAACTATTCCCAACAAAGAGATGAGTGACAATGAAATAAATAGACTTACTTTAAACAATCCTCCATATGTATACTATTTTCAATAGTACCAGGAAAAATATGCAACTATTTTCCATAAAGGAATCAGAGAATAATTTGTCTAATTTTCCCAAAACATGCCCATGCTCACAAAAAATCAATTACATTTTCAACTCCAGTGAGAGTGACTCAGTCACTTATACTGTATTTGTTTAGTAACTACTATCTGAAGAGTACCAGGTGAGGTACTACAGAAAAGAAAACATATATTATACTGATGGGGAAAATAAACACACACTTCTCAGTGTATTAAGAATAAATGTTCAACTATTAATCTGAACATACAAACTATTATACTATAGAATAAGAACTTCAGTGACTAAGAACTGTATGGAGTTAATCAAGATAAACTGCTTAATTTAAGTTCACCAAACTTCTAGATATTGAGGTAGTTTAACATTTCACTGCATTATACTTGGTCCCTTTAACCAACTATACCATTGAAAACTTTACTAATAGCCAAATAGCATGAGTTAGCATATTTCCAGCCTCTGCTCCCTCTGACTACATCCTGCTTTCTGATCCCATTGAAATGTAAACTTCATATTCTTCACTCTATGAAAAGACTTAAGATACAATGAAAATCCTATTGCAAAAATATGGTGAAACCTGGTATGTTATATAATAATGCTTTCCATCATATTAACAAATCACAAGAAAAATCCACACAACCCTTTCTACATGGTATCCCCAAAGTTGCCATACATAGGAAAGCCAGTATCTTGGAACATGTTCACTCAGTACTGCAATTTTATTCACATCCAAACTTACCTCAATCTGACCATGTTCTCTGAAAGACAGTTTGATGTAGGAGTTCTTACTCCTCTGGAATGGTCCAGGTTCTTTGTTAGGAGGAGCTGTGTGAAGATGAACCACTATTTTGGCACTAAAGAAAGAATAAATGTCATGTATTTAATTGCCTTAAAAAATCATTAATTCTATTTTCATAACTTTCATATATCTCAAATCACTGTTAAAATTCACCTAGAAACATGGGGGCACCTGTAGCTCAATGGCTAGGGCGCTGGCCACATACACCAGAGCTGGCGGGTTCAAGCCTGGCCTGGGCCTACTAAACATTGACAACAACAACAAACTAGCTGGGCGTTGTGGCAGGTGCCTACAGTACCAGCTGCTTGGGAGGCTGAGGCAAGAGAATCACTTAAACCCAAGAGTTTGAAGTGGCTGTGAGCTGTGATGTCACAGCACTCTATCAAGGGTGACATAATGAGACTCTTGTGTCAAAAAAAAAAAAAATTCATATAGAAACAAAGAACATCTTAAAAAGTATCCTTTTAAAGTTTGTGTTAATTTATCCATTAGTGAAGCTTTCAAAAATACCTCTATAAAGCTTATTAGCTATGAACCAAAAAGTTTCAAGTTACTAACTTTACAGATTAAATAGAAATGTGGTTTTAGGAAATATGTTCAAAATAGACTTGAGTGACTTATGATGAGGGTTTTCCATCTACAATCATCACCAAAGGTTATAAGGGAGCCTTTATTTCTGCCAAAGCATGATACCTGGAAAACAAAATGTGAAAATGTATCTGTCGCTGGAAAATGTTCTTCTTAGCAAAGTATCACAAGAATGGAAAAAAAAGTATCCAATGTACACACTCCTATTATGAAACTAATTTATACCTTTTATACGAAAGCTATAACCTAATAACAGTCTAAG